TCCTCGATAAGCAGGAGCACTTTCGCCCATCACCTTCATGTACACCAAAATATGAAGTCATCTCCAATCGCAGCCTGACTGGAGAAGCCCTTTGGAATTCATCTCCAAACAGCTGCGAAAGTTCTTGTGGAGTCACCTCATGGACAGCTACCTGGAGACCAGTACTCTCGATCTGGATGACCTCCAACATCGAGCAGCTCCGACAACGTCGCTACGGTCTAGGACATCATCTTCACCGCAGTCGCCAAGGCGCGGGTTGATGGTATGGACCGGAAGTTCCTGGAATGGGAAGACCGATATTTTCTTCGTGGACCCCGGACTGAAAGTGAACGCTGACGGTTACATCGACAACTCGTGGAGAATATCCTGCCTTCATGTTATCGCCTTCTTGGAAACTTCGTACTGCTACAGGATTGGGTGCCACCACATGGAATCGAAGGGCGTTGGGAAAACTCTCGCCTACTTGGAATGGAAGGGCGTTGAGTACCTGAAGAAGACGGAATATCCAAGTGTGTCACCTGACCTAAACCCCTCAATTACCCGGTTCGGGCGGAGCTCAACAGGGTGGTCTACAGTGGCGGAGAAATCAACGATCTCGCTGAACTCAGGTACCGAATCACGGTCGCGTGGCAGAATCTCTCGATGGCGCTCGTCCAGAAGGCTGTGGCGGAGCATCATGATAGTATACAATATGCTGTTGAATATGGTGGTGAAATGTCCCATCAGAATTTAATAAAGTGTAACTTATAGCGCCCTGAAAGTCAAGGAAGAAAAGTGACTTTTTTTGTCCCCCTCCCTATATTGCTACGCACAATGCGCGCTAGAGATGTGTTGCACTACATCCATTTCAGTCTTTCCCGATACAAGGACAAGAAGACTTCACAAATTCCCAAATTTATTCAGTATATCTAGAAATAGGAGCACGAATTACAGAACATCTCTCTTTCTCTGAATGGATGAGACTGGAGAGTGATGAAGAGGAACAAATGTCGTATAGCAACCGAAACGTAAATTAAACTGCAGTGCCGCGTTCGAGGTCCTCCTGAACAGAGAGAGATCAGTAGAAAGGAACTGAAGTGACATCTACACATGGTAATGACTGTATCCACGCTTTACACCTCAAGATGAAGTGTTTGAATACTTTGGACAACCCTCCACCGAAAGCGAGGGATGCACATTCAATATTCATTTCGAGGTATAGTCTAGCTCGCTGCGTACGGAGGGGCGTGTCAGACGGGATGAGTATGGCCCGGTGACAAACTCGTTCTCCACCAGCTGCTGTGAGCAAGTGACAAGACCGTATTATATCGTTCGTATCACTCGTCTTCTACCAAGTGTTGCCACATATCCGTTTCAGCAACTGGCAGAGAACGAGTTTGTCCCGCGGCATACTCATACCGCCTGACACACCCTTCACCCACAGCGAACTAGACTATGTGAATATTCCCAGCATGGGCGTGACAGCAGAGATAAGCACTCATAATAGAATGAATTGTTCCATACCTTGATGTCTTCTGTGTATTGTCCATAGAATTTCTCCAATTTTTTGTTGAACCTCATGTTCTTATCATTGATGTAATCAATAGGAGCGTCGGGATCAAAGAGACGGCGACGATGAAATTGTTCACGACGTTTCGACCTAGAAACAATAAGGACAGAAATGAGAAAAAAGAAACAACGCATAAAAAGTGGGAAAAGTCACGTACTGTCCTTGAACGTCCCGAGCAAGTCTTTCCATAGCTACGGTGGTTGGATAATGAGAACCATGGATCAATGTGTCTGCCGAGGGATAGAACTGGTCTTCGCCACTGAACAGAAAAAATTCAAAGAGAAAAACATACATTTTTTAGGAGAGCTTCGGAATATAACTTACACAATATCTCGCATCTTTTTGTAAGACTCGCTATCAGGTTTCAGATTTGTAGTTAAACGTGTATGCTGGCGAAGAGTCATGTCCTCATAACCTGAAAATGATCGTGTTCTGTGAAAAAAAAAAAAACGAAAGAACAGTTGCGCTGTGTGCGAGTCGTTGAAGTGACCCTACTGAGCCTAAGCTGATTTATTTTCAAAACAACCATTGTTTTGAACACTATCAAAAAATGGGTGAGAAAAGCAGAGCTTCGGGATAATTCTATTGAATTCCTTCTAGAGGTTACACTCATGAAAAGCTATACAATAACTCATGAGAAGGAATATATTCATTGGTGACATTCGCCGTTTCTAACAAAAGACAGAGCCGAGCCAAATAATCAGTTTCCTTCGCACTGATTAGTAGGAGACATGTGTCTCGAATTAATATGTGAATGGTAAGGCCACCGAATATGCCATTGTTCTAACTATAACCCGGTAAAAACAACGCTTTGCGAGGCACTTCAATACTTAATATGCAGCTGGAACAAGCCATGAAATTCGCACAGTTCTGAAGCTCTTATCCAGCCGCAAGCAATAGAAAGGTAAGCTGATAGCTGAGATTCAACAAAAAAAAACTATTTAGCGCTCTAATTTTTTGGTTTTATTTTTAATTAAAAATTTGGTTTGCTTACTAATGGACCTGATTAGAGGCCGTCATCATCCATGAAATCGACTCTGCAGGAGCTTTAGAGATATCCATGGGTATTCAGTTCCAAATTCCCTAAGCATGGAACTGCCCACTTGCGTTGGGCCTTCTTTCCTTTGACTGATGGTTCACGTCATCTCAAAGATGCCTAGTGTGGTTGACGTGAAGGCTTTTACTCGTTCATTTTGTCATTCCGATGCCGACCTTAGGTGCCGGAACCTAGATCTCGTGCACTTTTCTGTGTCACGATGTTTCCGTACACAAGTCAGAGATTGACAGAAAACTCCGATTTTTTTTTGGCTTGTTCCAAGTTTTTTTTTCTCCGCAGCAGTATATACATCTCACAGGAGCGAACATCTCTGAATGCTCTGGCTATGTGTAACGCGGTTGGAAAAGTACATGATGAGCGACTTGACACCAGAGCTGCAAGAGAAAACGAGCGGCATGGTGTGCATTTAAGAACATCGAACCACGAAGAACTGTAAGCCCCGTGCTGACCCCTTCGATTCCGCGGTCCTTCATCCCCTAAATACGCCTCAGAGACTCGAACTCCACGAAAGCAGGATGAACAGGCAGTAAGTAGTGTCATTGAACGCGCCAGAAAGGGTCATGCTTGAAGTTCCCTCTTTGGTGGAGGCTCTGCACTTCGTCGCAATCGAAGATCAAGGACGCAGCCGCATTTGCCAAGGTTCCGAAGTTCAGGTGATCCGAGCACGTCATGGAGATCCGAAGATTATTAC